AAGAGACGCTGTGGGCCTGCTTTAGCCTGTAGCGTGAACCTTCCTGTTCTTTATTCAATAAATAATTACAGCATAAAGTTTTGTTGGTTTACACAAGGAAGCTCCTGGTGCCCTGGGTGGGGACGACTCATCCAGCCTGTGCCGGCTGTGCCGGCTCTGTCCTCATCACGGGGCTGCGGGCACGGCTCCCCGCCCCCCCGGGGCCCCCCCTCCCCCCCACCGCCAGCCCTTGCTCTCAATAAGGTGCCGTGTTCCCCCAGCTCCCACCCCGTGGCCCCGGCAGCACCCGGGCTGACCCAGCTTCCCTCCCCAGGCCCCTGCTCCTCCTCCTGCCCTAGATTCCCTCTGCATCCCCCCTTCCTCCTTCCCCCGGTGGAGGGTATCAGAGGCTGGATCCTGCACCCCCATCACAGGGCCGTGGGCCACATGCCTGTTGCATGGCAATGTGTTTTTTTTTCCCCCTGCTCCAGCACGCAGCATCCCCTGGGTAGTGGCAAGTGCTGCCTGCCAGGCACTGGGAGATCTGCCAGCTCTTGCTCCCAGCCCCCCTCGGTCCCTGCTGCTCCATTGGGAGGTCCCTTGAGGGGGTCTCCTGCTCCCAGCACAGCTCCAGCCTCACCTCCTTCCTTCCCTGCTAGGGCATCTCCTGTGGGATTCCCTTCCCGGTGTTCCCAACCCCAAGGATGCTCCCTGCCGCCATGGGGGCCATGCAGCACTTCCCTTCCCCCGGCATGGCCTAAAATAGCAGCGTTCAAACAAGTGCTCTGTTTTTTTAATGGCCTGTTTCTCCTGTCGGGGGGGGAATCACCTTCCCCTGCCCTCTGCCACAGCCCTGCTGCCCTGCACGTGGCGGGTGCTGTGACGCCCTGGGTGCTGGCACCTTTATTTACCCCTGCACCCAGGAAATGGAGGTGTTTAGGGTTGTGCTGTTTACTGGGCGTGTGGGTGGCTCACCAGGAAGCAGCACTTGCTGATCCCTGCCATCGCCTCCCTCCCTGCTGTGGCTGTGACCCTGCTGGCAGGGAGTTGGATATGGCCCCCGAGATGCAGGGCTGGCAGTGCGGGCCCCAAGCTGTGCCCGGCTCCAGGATGCGGGGGGAGATGCGCTCCCCTCCCTGGATTAGGGCCACGCGGGGCGGCTGAGCCCTCCTTTTACGGCGGGAATTCAGCAGAACACGGCCCTGGCAGCCGGCCCCGAGGGGTGAGTGGGGACACTGGCAT